TCCTTCTGGGAACCTAGTGGGGAAAGGGTGTTCCAGGTGGCAGGGAGGCAGGACCCAGGGCTGTGTGCTGTGGGACAGGGTTACAACCCTTCCTGGCTTTCATCATATGGAGTTGAGGAAACTGAAGTTTGGAGAGGTGAAGTCACTCCAGGCCACACAGCTGGTAAGAGGGGAGCTCTGGTTGAACCCCACCTGATTAATGCTCACCCTACTCCATTAGGCATGGGAATGGGAGGGAAGTCCCACCCTTAGCATTTGCCCTAGAACTGGCAAGTCTTTTGGGGAAGGGGAGCCAGGGGCTGGTCCACAGGATTGGAGGTGGGGAGGGGCAAGGGCTCGCTGATGTTTGATGGCCTGGGACAATTTCCCATTGGGATTCTTTGTAAAGAAACTTTGTGAGAGCTGTTGATGCAGTGTGGCCTCCCCTGTTCCTGCAACACACCTGCAGTGGACACAGCCACCAGCTGGCCAAGCCACCCACAGGACAGCACATCCGTGCAGCCACAGAGGAAGCAGCTGCCCAGAGCATCTCCAGGGTGGCACCTGCCAGGCCCTTCCTAAGTGCTGTGAACGTTAGCTTCTATCCTGAGGAAAAGCAGCCAAAGGCTCATCCCCTCTGCACCCCAGGCCTGTGTGCCCCTCCCCACTCCTCATGGTAAGGCTCCAGAGACCCTCACTGGGCCTCAGCCACCGGTCTTCCTTCCTTGTCCTTTCAGGGCCTGGGGCCAAGAATGGACATGTCTTTGGGAATTGTTCTCAGAGCTCAGTGAATGATTGAGTGACTGACAACCAGCGGGGAAAACCAAGGCCCAGCAAGTTTCTGCCAGGAGCCCCTCCTCCAGGAGGACTTCCCTGACCCTCCCCTAGCCAGGGTAGAAGGTCCTTACAGAACTGGTGCTCAGAGCTACAGTGTGCCTTTGGGCAAATGGCATGACCTCTCAGTGCCTCTGAGTCCTCACATCACCTGTGTGAGGCGAATGACAGGAACAGCATTGTTGAGAGGTGTCACAAGCTACATGCAGCACAAGGTCAGGGACATGGCACATTTAGAGCATGCACAGACACGAGCCATTTGTGTAGGAGTCACAGGAATTTCAAAGTAGCATTTCGTTCACTTGACTGAATTTTTGCCACCTGCCGAAGGCTCTGGCACCCGCAGTGAACACTGCTCATGTCTTGTCCTGATCCCTCCACCTGGTTTTGATGTTCCTGGAAGCCTCTCCCTCCAAAGGCCACCTGTGACTTCTGCACCTGCCTTCCGGCTACTGGAGCCAGCTGCCTGCATACCTGCAGGGAGCCGAGCTTCTGGGAGTCTGTCCACCACCTGACCAATGACTGACAGGTCCTTGAGTTGGGATCAACTCAGGGTGTAAGTGATGCTTCAGGGTCCCCTGTGGCGTCAGGCTTTGCCTGAAATTACACCTGGCCTGGCTCCCCCAGCTCCCTGTCCTGAGTACTGTGCCTCGCCCTTTCTCCTGGATGGTACCTACGTCCTCACCTCATCCCAGGTGCCAGGATAGTGGCCAATGTCTATTCACCTTTCTCCACACCCATGCAGGGGGGCACTGGGTCCGTGTGGGTGAACTGATGGACTTAGTGATGTCATCAAAAGAGAGATGGGGGAGTCAGCCAAGGGAAGGATTCTAAGAGCAAGAAGCAGAGGCTGAGAGTCCGGTCTTCCCCGCCCGCTGCCTCCTCCTCTGGCCAGGCACAGCCCCCTCCCTTGCCCACACCAAGGAGCCATAAATGCTCAGTGGAGTGTGTGGTCTTTAGTACATGGGCCTCGAGCTGCATAAACAAGGTTGTAAAATTTAAAGGCAAACCAGGCTGGGGTCCCAGGGGCAGCCCCGCTGGCATCACAGATGGAGGTGGGAGGCAGCTCACAGCAGCATTGTAGTTGGGACAGACAGAAAGGGCTGGGGCATGGACAGAAGGTGGTTGTACATATTTGTTTACAATCATTTGATCTGAAATGATCAGGTGGAACCAACCTACAACTAGACCACAGCATAGTACATGGCAGTTCGATAGTTTGTCTCTTCCAAAGAGAGCTGGTCCTCCCAGCTGAGATGAGCCAGAGAAGCCAGAGGGGACCACAAGAAGACACCCTCCCCCTTCTGTGGCTTCAGTCAAAAGGGAAAAACCCAAGTAAAGAAGTAAAGTGCAACCATCTGGATACTGTGCAGTACTGGGAAGGTTGGATCAAAACTGCAGCCTGCTTCTATGACACCCCAATAATGCTTGTTTGAGCCCAGGCCCCCAGAGCCTAGGAGGGAGGCATGGCCAATAGAGGAGTCTACTCTGTTGACTGCAGGCCTCGGGCCCCTTGAGCAGGGGCTCAGGTCTGCTATCTACCTCTCCCTGCTGCAAGCCAGGCAGCTGTTTGCTGGTCAGCCCAGTCTACCACAGCCTCCCCCAGTGGGAAATTCTCACCCTACACCCAGCCAAGCTTCCCAATTCTATGTACCAGGCATTAAGAATATGAACTCTAGAGCCCCACACGGCCCTAGGTTCAAATTCCACCTCACTGTTTTTCTATTTGTGTGCCTTGGACAAGATAATTCAGTTTTCTGAGCTTCAGTTCTGGTTCTGTAAAATGGAAATAATGACAGCTCCTACCAGGTCATTGGGAAGGATGTGATACATCTTAAGCCCACCATAGGCAGTGACCACTGTCGTGTTTATAATTTTTATCTTCTCTTTGCTATTACTGGAAATGGTCCTATGGTCAACATAAGCAGATCCAGCAGGATGGGGGCAGGGGCAAAAGCAGAGAGTTGGGGCTCCAGGGACACATGCTTCAAAACTCTGGCTGACACAGGACAAGCCACCAGGGGACCGGACGTAGAAGCTGGGGTGATGGAAAAGGAATGGACAGGGAGGAGAGGACTTGCAGGCTGGAGGATCAGGGACGTGGGATCAGGGCCACATGACCTCATCAGAGGGATGTGCAGAAGAGTCTGCACATGAGGAGGATGGTTTCCTTCCAATTCTGGGATGCTGGGGCATACCTGCTGGAAGGGATCTGAATTTGTAAGGTGAGGGAGTCAGCCAAGGAGAGGAGAGGGGTCTGATGGGCTTGGGCCAAATCCAGTCACTCAGGAGCCATATGAACTTTGCCAAAATAACTCACCCTTCCTACACCTCGATGACAGCAGCTGCAAAATGGGGACAATCCAAGAAGCCACCTCTAAGGGTCTTTGCAAGAACTGAATGAGTTGCTGCTTGAAGTCAGCTGTCATTGAATACAAGTTACTGAAGGATAGTGAAGAGGGTATGAGGGAGACTGAGTGAACGTACACTCAGGATTGTATGATTCTAAATATTTACAAATATAAAACTGAGTTCTTTTGTTGTTGTTGTTGGCACTGGTGTTTGAACTCAGGGTCTCACACCTGCTAAGTAGGCACTCTTACAGCTTAAGCCACTCTGCCGGCCTAAAACTGAGTTCTTACTGGACTTTTAGCTCTGTGAGAAGAGACATGCTCTGTTTTGTTCAGGTCTTATCCCCAGTATCAGGCACCCAGGTCTTGTCATACAGAAGGTGAGCAGTACACATATGTGTATTGTATGTGTGTGTATGTGAGTGTGTGTGCACAGATGTGTATGTTGGATGTGTGGGTGGATGACTGGAAGATGGATGGATGGATGGGTGGATGGATGGAGGAATGGATGGATGGACGGGTGGATGGATGGATGGGTGGATGGATGGATGGATGGGCAAAACTGATGAGTCTCTGTCTAGTTGCCCAAACCAGAGACAACTATGATGTCCCTGATTCTCCCTCACCCCTCCAAATCAGCCCCCTCACCTTGCTCTCTGTACGAGGTCACCTCTCTCACCTGCAAAGCTGCTAGCCTCAGCCTCCTTCCTGGCCTCCAACTTTCAGCCTGCCTGGCCTCTCTTCCATCATAAAAAATCTCATTTACAGAAAGAAAGGAAGTTCATTAGGCAAATTGGGGCCGTCCTGCTGCAGGGCTGAATCATTTACAGGCACAAAGAGAGTCTTATCTCCCTCACTCACAGCATTAGGAAGCACAGGAGGGGTGGCCCCTGCCACCTCCTTCCCAGGAAGCCCTGGCGTGCTGAACAGGACCTCAGCAGGGGGGTGGCAAAATGACGGGTGATGATCACACACAGCCCTGATGGTGCCAGTGCAAGAACCCCATGGCAGTCACAGTCACACTCTGCCATCTCCACCCCAGGACACTAGGAGCCTGAGTCCAGCCACTTCCAGCTCATTAAGCAACCAGCTCAGGGCCCTGGGAAATGTCTCAATTAGGTGACCACACTGGCTGGCATAAATTAATTTGATAAAAATAATGAGTTCAGCAGAGCAGAACTGCTGTGTTTCCAAGAGCAGGTGCCCCAAAGCCTGAGCTCTGGGGACTGGGAACTGAGGAGAGGCAAAGGGACTGGGGTGATACTTGCAGGGCAGGCATCCTCCAGAGGCTGAAGGACCCAGGGACTCGTCTTATCCTAAAAGTCTCTGAAAACAAGCTTTTGGTACACACCAAGGAAGTCAAATCACCCTATTTCAAAGATCCTCAGTTTTCTCAGCTGTAAAATGGATGATCAGATGACAAGTTCCTATCACTGATTAAATAAAATAATACAAGGGACTTGACACATGCCTGCAGTGTGTGGAGGCCCTCAGTAAGTAGCAATAGTCATGTTTATTACTAAAGTAAAATAGTGTAAGCCCCACCCGTTCTCACCCTTGGGGTCTGTTCGACCCTTTTACTCTAACTCCTGCTTTTCTTGATCCCAGGCCCTCTACTTATGCTGGAGTTCAAAGGGTTGAAGAATTTGGTCAAGGTCACGCAACCACTAGGATTTGAACCCAGGTCTTCTGACTCCAAAGTAAAGCTGGCCCATGTGCTACAGAAAGACAGGTGTACAGATGCATGGGCCTGAGGGGGGGGAAGGGCCTGCTCACCTGATAATTTCCATTCCTGTCTGATCCAGTTCATTTACCAAGGCCACCACTGTTGGAGAGAGTTAAGCAGCCCTGATTCACCGGTGCTGGGGAAAGTCCACGCTGGACATCCACAGGGGGTGGAAATGAGGCAGATAACAGGGACCCACCTCTCACGGGGGGGTGAGACCCCACAGAGCGTGGGGGCAGGGTTAAGCATTGTTACAGCACTGTTAAATCGCTGTTGATATTAACGAAAGCTGGTATTATAAGCACACCTTTTAATGTTGATTTTTCCTTTAAATACACTAAGATGTTGGGGACAATGAGTCCCTAATGACAGCTGTCCGGACCTTCCCCGGTACCCCACCTGCTTTGAGTGAAGGACTATCAGCCTAGCAGTCAGCTGGTCCACCTCATCCCAGCCTGGCTGCTCTGAGCACTCCCTGGAGGCCTTGAGGGCCTACAATGAACAGTTCTTGTTGGACTTTTTGCCATCACAAGCCTTGGTGAACTCTAGATGACTCTGCATCCATTGTTACCCAGGCCAGAGGGGGAGAACTTCCCCCTGGTGGCCTAGCAGGAGGCCTGAGACCGGTGTAAACAGCATCCTCCACTGGCTTGAAGGTTCACTGTGATCGCTGCAGCCTTTCATTTGCCTGCAGGACTACGCTATGATTGGTGCCACAGTCCTTCATTTGCACGAAGGCCAGCTGGGATTGGTGCAAACCCACTCGCCACACCTTTCTGGCTATATAAACTGGCTTGGCTCACTTGTTTCAAGTCAGCTGAGAGATGCCCTCCTGTGCTGCCCTCAACAAATGGCTTCTCCTGTGACGTTTTCTTGCCTGTTTGTGATCATCACCAGTACAGTAGTCTAATGTGGTAAGGAGAAGAGAAGATGGCAGAGTGGCAGTGCTGAGGAGAGGGCAGCTGAAGAGTTTCAGAGAGCAGGGCAGAAGTGACAGGATGCAAAGGTGGCAGAGGCAACGAGGGATGGCAGAAGTAAGAGAAGTTGGACAGCCAAGGTTGAAGAAAGATAAAAGGTTGTGAAGAGCCAAAGAAGAGAAACTGCAGGCCCCGGGGCTCTCATACACCAGAGGTGTCTATAGGGGCTGAGAGTCCCAGCACCCCAGGCCGGCAGGAGAGTTGTATCCATAGCAGCTACCCCCCGCTGCTACCACTGCTCTGCTCACCGGAATATAAAGGCTGCCAAGTGCCAGCGCCTCTGGTGGTTAAAGTCCTTAGTGACCCTCCAACCTGAGTGCCTGCAGCCATGAGTCTCTGGCTTCTAAGGTCTGGAACAATAGGCCCTTAGCTCTCAGAGTCTGGAGCTGGAAGCCTCTGGGTCTGCCAGTCCAGCCCCCAGGCCTTGGACACTCAAGGGGACCGTCAACTTTAGGAGAGTTTCCTATCCACAATTCCTATCTGGACAGAGCAAAAGGACTCCAGCCAGCTGCAGATGGGGAGGTCAGGAGTCCTGGGGTTCAGGCACAACTCAGCCACAACTGTCAGTGACACCTTAGCCAAGTCACTGAGCTCTCACTGAGCCTCAGTTTCCCCATTTGTAAAAGGGAAGGGAGATTTCAGACTCCGAACGCCTTCCATGGATCTTCCTCCGGGCCACCTGGTCTTAGGTTTAAAGGTACCTGACATTTTTTATCACAAATCCTGCATCCCTGCACTCTGCCTCCTAGAGAGCGCCAAGAAGGACGAAGGGTAGACGTCAGGCAGTGTCCTGCGGATGAAGATCCTAAAAAGTGAAGTTCTTCTTGGGACGTGATATCCCTGAGCTGGGATGGCAAGTGACAACCACCACTCAGCCAAGACGACAATGCTGTGCTGAGCACGTCTGCCCCTCGCTGTAAGCCAAAGAGATGCACTGGGTGTCTAATTAGCAAAATATTCGATAATTGGTGTAATCTGGTACTATTCCCTTTTTGACAGCCTCTGCTACGGCATTCCATTTCAAGCTTGAGCTGCTGTAACATTGGGCTGATAATTGTAACACTGAGAATGAAAAATCAAATCAGAGTCATAGGAGGCTTCCATTAAATTGATTTAGGACAAGAAAAATTAATGGGATTCCCTCCCATCCCCTCCTCCCCACTGCCCTGTCTCTGCCTTGCTGTGCCCCAGAGCAGAGCTGTCACACAGAGACAGACCAGTGGCATTCTGAGTCCTTTACCCCACCTCTGGGCCTCTGCCAGTGGTCAGGAGCCACCTCCCTGGAAGACAGCTATGGGAGGTCAGTAGGAGGAAAGGGTGTGACCACAACGCCCAGTGCCACCACCCCATGCAGAGCACGATTCCTGTTCTGACCTTTTTTGCGGGAACAGAGCCTATGAGACAGAGAACAGCAGCTGTGCCACTTAACTTTGGTAAGGCCAAGAAACAAAGTTAGCATGAAGTGGATCCCAGCAGCTCAATGGACAGAAATTAACCGAGCCCACTGGAGGAGAAAGGAGCACAACTGGTTCATGAAACTGGGAAGTCTGGAGGGACAGCTGGCCCCGAAGTTGGTCCAGCTCTCACCAACTCCCTTGGGCTCCTTCTTCCCAGTCTGTGGGGCTACTCAGTACCCAACTTCATTTTACACACATTGTGAGGCCTCTTGAACCTCACGCCCAGAAAAACATGCAAACGGATGCAAATGAGGCCCTGATTTATGCAAAACAGACTATAAATGCACGTCCCTAGATTTGTGAAAGAAAAAAGCCTTGTCACCTAATTTAGCAGAAATTACAGGGGCAGAGGATTGTGTTTGTCCCTGAGTTGGGTTCAAGCCAGCAAGAATTCACAGCATCTTCTAGAATGCCCCCAAACCAAGAGCTCCATGACCCTGGCTTTACCCAGCCTCACAATGGTGTCCAGCCCCCCGCAACTGAGCACTAGGATTTCCTTGTCCTTGGGGGAGATGTCTGGAAAAGGTTGCTCCATAGTCCCAGGCCCCACCCACCTTCTGGCCCCGCCCACATGTAGCCTTGTTCTCACCCAGGTCAGGCCTGTTATTGGCGTTATCTCTATCTAAAATAGTGAACACTGATGGAGCACCTCTCTTTCCCCAGGCCCTGAATGAAGCACTCTTAGATACCTCATCTCCTTTACTCCTGGGAGCAGCTGGGGAATGCACAGTTATCACCATCTTACAGAGGGGGAAACTGAGGTCAGCAAGTAAGGGCAGACACCAGGAGAGGAACTCCAAAGCCCATGTTCTCTTTCTGATCCACTGGGACCCCTGGAACCTTCTCTTTTCAAACCCATGTCTCCTGTGAGGCTGCAGGCTCAGCTCCTTAGGCAGGACTCTGTCTGCTCCTCTCACCAACTTGGCCAGAGCTGGGCACACGGTGCTAGTGGTGGGTACTGCTGAGTGAAGGAAGCCTGCATTGTTGGGTACCACTTGCCCAAACATGAGTTTTCTGAATACTGATCCCATGATCTCTCTAGACCCATTGGCCAGCCCCGGCTTGGGTGCCTTTGTGTTACTTGGTCCTTTTTTCCCAAATTCTTGGCAAGTGGCATGAGTGTTTGTGTTTTCCACACAAACCATGGGACTCTCCAAGCTTGCTTAAGGGGAGCTATGTGCTTCCAGGTCTCCTCAAGACGCCTGGGTGTTTCACACTCTAAGGAGCATCTTAGAACGCAGGCTGACACCTGCCAGGTTCCTGCAGGGGACAATAACAAACCAGCTGTCCAGGGCCTGCTATGGGACAGAAGCTGCCCTGTTTTCCATGAAAGAACTCCATTCCTGCTCAAGGCAGCCCATTTGGTCAGTGCTGCTGACATCCCCGGGTTCTGGAAGAAGAAACCGAGGATCAGGGTTTACAAGCAGGCTACACTTTGTGCTGGCACCTGGGCACTTGTCCTCACCTGGGATCCTGGAGCAGACAGTGAAGAAGGAAGGGCTGCAAAATGGGCTTGGAGTGGTACAAGGTTAAGGCTACATGTCCAATAGTTCTCTTCTGTGCTATGACCTTGGGCAAGTGACTTTACCTGCCCGACCTCGGCTTTCTCTGTACATCGGGGTCAACAATGGAACCTCCTGATGGGGGTGGCTGTTGATGGTTCCACAGGCGTGGATCCAATGCATGTCGCACTGCACCTGGACCCAACAGGGGCTCCCCACACTTGGACTACCATTGATCGGACTATAGGACGTGACTGCAGCTCACACAGGTTCAGGGGGTTATGGATCACATAACAAAGTGGAAACAGAGCCAGAACTCAAGCCCAGGCCTCCCTGACGTGAGGGCCAGCAAGCTCTCCAGCACGGGGCCTAGGCCATGCTCTGGGGAGTGGGGGGGTCCAGAACCCATTGCCAGACCTTGTAAAGGAGGAGCCAACTGCCTGTCACAGGAGAAAGCCCATAATGACTGAGCCGCTCCTCGCCAGGAGAGGTTCTGTGGCTTCTGATGATACGAAAAGCTGACAAGAACTAGCTCAGGTAATTACATTAATTTTCCTCAATTTACACATTCTTGCTACTTGTCATTTCCCGGGAAAGTGTAAATGAGGTGTTTAGAGTGCTTGGGCAGCACCAGGGTTAGGTCTTCAACACTGAAGAGTTTCTGTTACCTGTCTTATTATCCATGGGTCCTCACCCATGATAATGGCGATGGTCCTGTCTCCATCATCAGACTGGAGCTCACCGAGGACTTTATTTCTCCTTCAGCCCGGGGACCTCCACCATCAGACTGCAGAATCTTCTGAGGATGGGGATGTAGCTCCCCCATCAGTCTAGAGTCTCCTGAACAAAAGGTAGGACTTTCCTGGGGAGGGGAAAGGGTGAGCAGAGCCCGGCTGCCTATCAGATTAGCGACTGGCCATCGAGCTGGCTAACAGGTCTGTGTGTCCATCACCAGACTCAGGGCTCCTGAGAACAAGGGCACCTCCCCCATCAGGCTGGGAACACTCCCAGCTGGCTCCGCTCACTGGTAGAACTTCCTACAAGCAAAGCTCAGACTCTGTCCGTGTGTGGCCACCACATCCCCAGTGTCACCCCCACAAACACAGGACCCTGCTTTGCGTCTAAAGAAAGTAGGCCTATTGGATGTCACAACCCCTGCCCCCAGCACTTCCTGTCCCCCTTCTCTGTGTCATTTCTCTCCAGAGCAAACACTGTTCCCTCCTCCACTGAGTGCCTACTGGAAACCAGGTCCTGGCACACGACAGGTGTTCAATAAATGCTCAGCGAGTAACTGTTGCCATGGCAGGAACACTATTCCTTTGCTGAGACACAGAGAGGTTATGGTTCTTGCTGGATGTCACACAGCTAGTTAAGTGGGGAAAGTAGAGCTGGAACTTTGGTACAAAGCTTTGCTTCTGGAGGTGGTGATGAGTGTTTTTGGTGACAGTGGACCTCAGTTCTGTCTGACTTTGGGCTTGAAGCTTCATAGGCAACTTGCTTACATTCCGTGAGCCTCAGTTTCCTCACCTGCTAACAAAGCAGCTAGTCAGAGAGTGGTTGTGCCCATCAGAGCGCTAAGGACCCAGGGCGCTAACCACCCAGGTGGTTATTATTACTCTTATCAACAAGGCGAGGCCTCCTCTTGCATACCAGGCACATCCTAACCATGTCACTGACACCCCCGGGTCCTCCCTCGCTCTGTTGTCAGAGACAAGGAGAAGACCTCTTGGCTGGTATGATAATTTCACTGGCTAATGAAGTCACTCATTTTCTCAGTGATGGGAGTTCACGAGATCTCCCAGGTCCCCTCGCTGAGTAAGCCATAGGGCCAGGATCTAACAGTGCTCTCAGCTGCCAGCTCCTGCAGCAAAGGGGAGACTTCTGCCAGGATCGTTCAGGATGAGGACATAAGGGAGTCAACAGCTAGATGCTTTCCACAGACTTGGCACCATGGACCCCTTGCAATTCTGTCATGTCCCGGTTTCAGAAATGAGAAAGCAAGGAATCCACCGGGAGCCACACAGCAGGTCTTTGGCAGAGCTGGATCTGAATGCAAGCCTGCCGGATCCAGAGCCCACACTGGCTCCTTGTCCCACAGCCTCTCTGTGCCAATCACTGCCCCAAGGAAAAGGCTTGGCCAGCATTTGACTAAAGGGATAAACACAACCCGGGGAGTCCCATCAAGACAGGTCATTTGGTCATCAACCCGAGCAATGGAAATGGGACAGGGCATTTTTCCCACTTGTACTTGGAAAGTATCCTCCTCTCCTGAGAGAGGTGGACTGGGCAGTGACAATTCTTCCTTTGTAAAATGAGAAACTGAGGCCCAGAAAAGATGGGTGCCATCTGAGCTGCAGTCTGCCAGTGCAGGAATGGAAGCCAATGGACCCAGCGTCCTCTCTACCCCTCCTGGGGACCACCTGCCCTCTAAGAATAAGCCACCCTCTATGTGCTGTCCCCCTCCGCACACACTGCCTCCTCCTCCCCCACCTTCCTCTGTTGTGGCCTTGCTCACTGGTGCTCATGTCTGTCCCCCATCTGGAGCCCGTACACTTCTCGTGGGTCACCTGCATGGCCCCAGGAACCAGCAAGGTGCTTGGCATCCAGCAGGAATTCAAAGTATGTGAGTGACTTCTTCAGGGGGCAAAATCCTACAGGGCAGGTGGTAAGGACCCAGGAGAATGGCCTGTCCCTGGGGGCTTTTCCACTGGGCCGCCAGTCCTTAGATGGAAGGTGTTGTGCGCTTGCAACCACTTGCAAGGTTGGCATCCCCTCCCTCGACCTTCGCGGAGTTCTGCCTCACCTCTCTATGTTGTCCCTCAGTGTGGAGAGTGGGGAAGGACAATGGGCCCACCTAGAACCCAGCCAACCCTCTCTTAGATGGGGGAGGGCTGGGGGGGCACCTCACTGCCCCTTTCTGCTACCATGGCAATGACCCTAGCCTGTACAGGACAGCCAGACACTGAAGAGCCCCTCATTTCCCTTCCCTTCTTGGCTCCTGTCAGATGCCAAGGGCACCTGACTCCATGCCACCCCAGAGCTGGGGCTGCCAAACAGTCAACAAAGCAGCTCCCAAGAGCCCTTCTCAAGCCAGAGAACTTTCTATAGTAATGAAAATGGTCATACCTGGATTGTCCAACCTGTCACTGCTCATCCCGTGTGGCTCTTCAAGCCACATCTGAAAGGTGGCTAAGAGACTGGGGGACTGAACTTTAATATGATTTGGTTTTAATTAATTTGGAAATTAACTAGTCACATGTGGCTACTGGCACCTATCTTGGACAGAAGTCTGGAGTGGGCTGCAGCCTGGTACCTGGCCTCTATCCTTTCTGCCTAAAGTACTGTGCTCCCTGGAACCCAATGCACGCTATCTAGCAACCTCTGTTCTCTCCGCCTCATCCCCATCATATCCCCTCAAAACCCTGATCCAAGTGTGATGTGCCTCTTGAAGTTTATTCCAGCATCTCCCAGAGCTCCAATATGTACAGACTGTATTTATACACATATAATATACACCATATATACGTTTTTATATACATTCACACCCCAGCCCACGCGCTCCTGCACTCACACGCACACACCCTTCCTGGAGGGGCAAGTGACCATCTTGGAGACCTCTCAGCTCCAACAAGTGGTACTGGGCTTGCCAGGCAGTTGTGAGGTTTCGCGTTTTGTTTTTTTTTAAAGGGGTATTTTCTCCAGATGTGTCCTCCTTCTCCCTAAACCCTCGCCCCAAAACTCTGATTTTTTTTTTTCCTTAAGAAGTTTTCCTCTGCTTTGCCAAGGCAGTTGCTGAAGAATCCAAGCCTGTTGCACAGCTCTGCGCAGGTCCCTCGGGGCTGGGGGCGCAATTCCACCCAGCGCTCCCTGGGGGCCTCGGTTGGACCGGAAGGGGTCCCACACAGGCGGCACGGGTCTATCAGCAGCTTGCCCTCCCGTGGCTATAGCGTCAAGGGCACCTGCCAAATGAGCAGAGTACTGTCCGTCTCCCCGCATGGGGCTGGCCTCCCGCTGCCCCCGCCGAAGTGGCGGTAGCCCTGCCCGCCGGAAATGATGGCCACGGAGCAGATCTCCTTGCGGTGGACGTCGCGGGCGCAGGGCCGGCTGCGCACCCAGACGTCGGGGTCGTCGGCCATCTCATAGATGGAGCCATCCTCCTCGCTGTGCTCCAGCGCCGAGCCGTCGGCAGGCGCGGGCTCCCGCATGGACAGCAGCGGCCCCGGGAGGTGGGCCGTGGAGCGCAGGCGGTACTGCAGCAGGATGCCCTTCTTGCGGGTCAGCTCTCGGCCCACGTGGCTGTCGGGCGCGGGCACTGGCTCCTGAGCCTGCCCGTCAGGCTTGTCCTCCTCCGCCCGCGGCCCCTCGGCCTCCTCCTGGTCACTCCGCAGGATGTCGGGGGCCAAGATGCTGGTAGCCACCGCCAGGAAGGCCACAGGCCCACAGTGACCATTGAGGGAGACCATGCCTTTCCCTGTGGGAAACGTGGGGAAGGGAGAGGGCCTAAAGGCCTGGAGCATAAAGGAAGTTATTCCCTATCTCTTGTGGAGAACTTTGCGGTGCGTCAGGCTTTCTTTGGGGGGAGCATAACTGCGGTCTACCTTGGTCAGAGACCCCATGCTCCAGGGCTGCTTTCTTTGAGGGAGCAGTGGGGAATGGCCTTATACACAGGAGGAACATGACCTCACTGGGGTGAAGTTCCCTGAAAACCTCCTCCCTCTGGCTCTGCACGGAAACCCTCTCCTGTCTACCCAGCTCCTCCTTCAAGAGGATAGTCCCTCCTGCATTCACCCCTGGAGAACTTCTCACCCATCTCTGTGCCCCTTGGTCCCCAGAAATCCTCCACCACAGCGCCTGCCACGGGGCCCATCACTGCCCCCTGAGATCCTTCTGCTCTTTGAGGGGCAGGATCCCAGCCCAAGTCTTGGCAGTCACCTCCCGTAAACACCCCTTGAAAGCACAAAATGCCCTCCTGGGCATAATTTGCACCTCCTCCCCCCACCATCCCAAGTCCCCGGCTACCAAGACCAGCCCAGAACCTTACCTGTGATCTTGGGAATGCCCTCCAGCCGGGGCACAGGCAGCAAGACAATGACCCCCTGGTCGGTGCCCACCCAGAGCAGACCCTGGCAGATGAGGAGGCTGGTGACACACAGGTGCTTCTGGCCTGTGGAGAGAGTCAGTGTGAGCAACGCACTCCTTGGGCTCCAGGCAAAGGGGTGGCACGGCCAGGCTTCTCCAGAGCCCAGCCAGAGGCTGCACAGTACTGTGGTTAGGGTTTGGCCTCTGGGTCCCCCACTGGGCCTCAGCTTCCTCCTGTATGAAGTGGGCTGCCATGAGGATGCAATGGGTGGTGTCACAGGACACAGGGCCTGGCCTGTATAGGCTCCCAATGCCCAGCCAGGGGCCAGGTCACCAGGCACAAAGGGGTAGCCAGGGCAGTCACAGGGGTCACAACTGCATGCTGGACCATGAAACCTGGGAGGGACAGGTTTGCACTCCATAAGGGTGGGGAGGGCCCAGGTAGAGCCTAAGAAGCAGCATGGGTCAGCAGCCTCTTAGACCCTCCTGAGGTGCTGTTTGCACATGGGTTGACATTTTGCCCACATGGGCACTTCTTTGAGCAGGGACACTGTGTGGACACCTCACTGCCAGGAATTAGCATGGATTTAATGCCAATTCACATTATTCCTTTCACCAGTGGAGTGGCTCAATGGTAGAGTGCCTGCTTAGAGCACATGCCTAGCAAGCATGACGCCATGAATTCAAGCCCCACTACTGCCAAAAAAAAAAAAAAAGTTTCATTCATACTTTTTCTCGGTCATCCCTTTCTTCATTCACTTCAGCAAGAATAGCAATGGCAGGGCACGGGGTCCCCTTTGCCCTTACAAGGAGATGTGCCATGTTGCTGCATAAAATTGCCCTGGGAGCAGGGCACTGAAGCCCAGTGCTGGGTTCAAATCCTGGCTCTGTCACTTCCTAGCTGTGTGAACTGACCAGTCCTGAACCTCCCTGTGTCATGGTTTCCTCACTTCTGAAAGGGGACAGTGACACTCTGTCCCGCAAGTTAAATGAGTCAGTAGGAATGGGCATGAGGAGAAGCAGGGACCAGAAGAAGAGAGCAGGATCCCCTGCAGAGGGGCTGAGAGGTGCAGGATACAGGCGGTTGGCTCAAGGACAAGAGCCCCAGGGCACACACGAGGTGGGCATCTGTGCCATGCTCCTGCAGGCCTCACTCAGCTCCTGCCTTTCCACAGGGCCAGCTCCTTCTGCCCCTCTGATAGGGGTTTGTTCTTCCCACCAAGGAAATCCAAACCCATGCACACCTATGGTGATGGAAGTGCCACCACCTGTGCTCAGTGAGGCTTAGGCAGCACTCCTCAAGACGGAATGCCCATCAGTATCACCGGAGGGCTGGCCACACAGAAGGGGGCCAGATCCAGAGCACAGGCTGCATTCTAGAAAATTCCAGATGACCCTATGCTGTGGGCCCACAGACTGCAGTTTGAGAAAACTTGCTTGGAGTTTCTAAACCCCTCGCACACGTGACCTGCCGTAAGCCGCACAGTAGCTGAGACACGTGGAGGACACAGGCATTACTCCTGTTCTCCAGATGACGATACCGAAGTTCAAAGCTGCCCCAGCTGGTTAAGCGCAGGGGAAACTGCTTTTCACAGCTGAGTGCTTCCGTTGCCCCCGCTCCTGACCAGGTGACTTCAATCCCATAGGCATAGGGGTGTGTGTCTTCTGGTACACAATCTCAGAGGAGGTCACCAGCCTGAGGTGTGCCACCCTCTTACCAACCGTTCACTCAGCACCCGATAACACCCCAGGTGCAGACTGTGCGCTGGGTTCTGTGCTCAGAGCTGGAGGCGTAGCTGCAACCACACAGAGCCCTGGCTCTTAAGGAGCAAACTCTCTAGAACCCTCCACAACAAGGGAAATGTTCTCTACGGTGTTGTTCAAATCAATAGCCATGGAGGTCTGAGGCCACTGAGCACTTGAGCTGTGGCTGGTGGAGCTGGGGGAAAGAATTCTTCATTTTATTTTATTTTAACCACAGCTATGGTATTAGATGGCACAGTCCTAGAGAGGGGAAATGGGGAATGAAAACAGAAATGAGAATCACAAACACTAGCCAGAGGATGAAGATGGGGTGACAGGGAGGAGCAGGTGGGAGAATTCCTGGGTTCTCATGCCTCTCTGCTTCCTGGGAGGATGGGGAAGCCATCCCAGAGGCTGAGACCTGATGACAAGAAGGAGTTGTCAGCACCAAGGCCAAGGAGACTGCAGGTGCAAAGGCCCTGTGGCAGAATCAGCTTAGCCAGTCAGTGGAGCAGTATGAAGTCAATGCATCTCTGGGATAGGGGAGCAGACTGGAGATGACAGAAGGAATGGTCAGAAGAGTGAATGGGCCAGATAAGGACTGCAACTCTTCCTTGTGACCAGATTGCATTTGGACACCCTGCTGCAGTGATGGAGTGGAGGTGGGGGAACAAGGAGACCTATGAGGGACTTGTTCCACCACCAAGGTAGAGAAGGGGGTGGTTAGGAAGGGGGTGGATGGGTGAGAACAAGACCATGAGAAGCCAACACAGTGGAGATGTGTCTTGTAGCAGATCAACAGACCTGTGTACACACTAGAAAGAGCAGGAGGAACTATGCACAGGGATGGAGGACAGCCCCAAGGCTGTTCATCTCAAGCAGCCGGGGCTCATCAGTGCTGCCTGTGCTGAAGGAGCAGGTTAGGTGGCTGAAGTTTGGAGCTGACAGTCCGTGTGTGGCTGAGATGCTTATCACACAGCCGAGGGGAGCCACTGGCAGGTGGCGGGGGGGGGGGGGAGCAGTGTGAACTCAGAAAGTCACACCGCCCTGATTCGTGTGGAAGTGCAAACACCCTGAAAAGCAGCCGCGAGGGACTTGGACTTGACCCGGGCTATTTCTCAGTGTCTGGGTGTCTGGGGCCTGCAGCAATTCAGAAAGGGATGACTGAACACTATGTGGGCAGCCTCCAGGCCAGCAGTGGGCCACCCCTTGTGGAACTGACTGGCCCCAAAGGCTCAGCCTCAAGTTTCCTGTCCTCATCACCTGCCTTCTCTTCTTCCTGTCAGTCAGGGTCTGTCATTACCTTTTTTTTTGCTCTTTGTCTATATATTATCTGCCTTCCCAAATGTAAGCCTCGTGAGGACAGTGCTAAGCTGAGTCCTCAAAATGATTCTGTGGCTCATGGGATACACTCAAAAGGGATTTATGAGTACACGAGTGGGTTGGTGGGTCAGTGGATAGATGAGTGGATAGGTAGATGGGTGCATGGGTGGATGGTGGATGGGTAGATGAATGAGTAGGTGAATGGATGGATGGGTGGGGTGGGTAGGTAGATAGGTGAATAGGTGGATGGATGGGTGCATTGGTGGATGAATGGATGGGTAGATGGTGGTTGATGGGTGGGTGGATGGGTTGGTGGATGAATGGGTGGATGGGGTGGATGGGTGGATGGGTGGATGGGTAGATGGGTAGATGGGTAGGTGGGTAGATGGATGGGGTGAATAGGTGGATAAATGGGTGGATGGATGGGTGGGTGGATAAGGGGTGGATAGATGGGTGGATGGGTAGATGAGTAGGTGAATGGATGACTAGATGGGTGGGTGGGTGGGTGGATGGATGGATGGGTGGGTGGATAAGGGGTAGGTGGGTAGGTGGATGGGTAGATGGGTGGGTGAATAGATGACTGGATGAGTAGATGGGTGGATGAGTAGATGGTGGGTGATGGATGAGTGGATGGGTAGATGAGTGGGTGGATAGATGGACAGATTAGGTGGATGGATGGATTGGTGGATGGGTAGGTGAATATGTGGATGGATGGATGGATGAGTAGATGATCAATGAGGTAGAGAAGTGGAAAAGGACATGGGTGTTGAGATCCATTACTAGCTATGTGAATTTAACAAGTCACTTTCTCTTCTCAATTGATGAGTATTACAAACCTACCTTGCTCTCTTTGCAATTATTAAAATTTTTAAACATATCTACATATGTGTAAATACACACACACACACACACAGAGTTGAGAGCAATTCTGAGCCCACAGGATGCAATTGACACATGGAGGCTGTGTGGCTATTTATGCTTATTAAAAGGATGTAAACTAGCCTTAAGATCAGCTCCATCTCAGCCATAAGCCACAAAAGTAATAAGGCCAAGAGAGGGAGCAATGGTGAAGATGTCACCTCAAATGTCTCCCCTCCCTGTCCACAGCCCCACGACCCTGAGACCAGCAGGAGGTGGTTTCTAGAGCACCTGCGTCCTCTCATCACCCCCAGGAGGCAGAAACATGACAAGTGAAAGAAGACGAGTGAGAAGCCCAAAAAGACGGTGAAGCTGAGAAATGACTTCATCCGCACCCCTTGTTCTGGGGCCTCCTCCTCCCCTCTGCCTGAGGAAGACAGCGAGACACTTCACAAACAGTCCGAAAGAAAAAAAAAATTCTAATGGTGGATAAATATTTTATCACAGAGACTTAATGCAGCAGTGTTCAGCTCACCCAAGCCATCTATCTGGAGATATACAACTTTAAAAAGCCCAGGCTCTCGGAACATTTTATTAATGACCTGTCTACTTAAAAGGAGGAGGGAGTTTAGGTTAAAAAATGCATTAATACAGCTGGGTACTCAAGTGGAAGGAAGGGTCGGGGGAAGGAAGTGTGATAAATTTTTAACACGCCCTAAAAAAAAATCCACACTTAGAGGAGGAACAAATTTATTACTAATTATGCAATTATTTCATTTGGTGGTATGGGGGAAGAAAAATACTTAAAAGCCTATTTAAAATATCTCTAATAAAGAATTTAAGAATCCTGCTTTGTTGTTCTTCCGTGAGATACATGTATGGGGGATGTGAAGCAACCCTCCAGCCTACAACCCCTTCCCCCACTCTGGCTGGGGCAGGCTTAGCTTGGGGCTTAAGGTGTCCCTCTCAGCTCTGAGGGGTTCCCAGTGGACCTGGCTGGCAGGTTACTGGGCCCAGTGTTGCTGACAGGAAAAGGTCAGACCTTTGGGTTCCTGGGCCCCCTGGGAACCTCAACCTACACCCAGACCTGTGCAGGGTTCAGCCCCAGGGAGGCCACCCCACCCACTCTGACACAGCTCGGGTAATAGGGAGAGCACCAACCTGGAGGTCAGAGGGTAGGCAAGGAGCCCCCCCAGGAAAGCCCTGGCAACAGGCTAGTGTGAGGGGCCGGGGATGCCTTAGAGACAAGGAGGACGATGACAATAAATGTCACTGTGATGAACTGAGAGCTCCCCTTGCCAGGGACTAGGGGGTGCTGTCCTCGCACCATCTCAGGTGATGCCCACACCTACCCTGCAAGATGGAGACTGAGGATGGGAGAGGGTTTCTACCTGCTCGTGATCACAGCTGCAACTCCAGGCTCTGAGTCACAGATATGCCCTGACCAAGTTCTCACTCACATCTTGACCCTTTAAGGCATCAATAGGGAAGGTGAGGCCCAGGAAAGGAGAGTGACCGCTTAGCTGCACAGTGAGTTCCCGGGAGGGCCTTGGGGGAGCCTGAGGTCACCTTCTGGCTCTGGTCTGACCAGAGGATGATGGTGGGCAGGTAGGAGGCTCAGCCTCTGGGGCCTCAGCCCACCTGGCTCTAGAACAATCACATTGGCACCCAGTAGCCTTCCCTCTTTAAAGGGCACTGCAAAGAGCAACCAAGTCAATGCTGGGAACAGAGTGGAGACCATGGTGAAGTCAGTGGCATGGTAGGAACTGCCATTGTCCTGCCCTCAGCAGCTCCATCCACAAATGGCCTCCAACAACTGCGAAGACTTGACTCACTCACTCTCCTCCCCCCACAGGATGAGCTTCCCAAGATTTAAAAAGGCCGTAAGATTATCCATTTTTTTTGCTACTCCGTTATTTTGAAATAGTTTAGCTATCAGTATAAATGTGGAAGTATTTCTATGATAGGGAGGGAAATTTTATTGCAGTTGAAATGAATGGACGTTGTATAATGGACGAAACTGGTCTCTACCTCCATGAAATACAGTGAAACTAAAGCAAGGAACAGAAGGAGGGAGGGAGGGGAGGAGAGAGGGAGAGAGGGAAGGAAGGAGCCACCATGTAGGTCCTGCTAGGCCTCCACACCCCAGAAAAATGGCAGGGAAGGAGCTCTCCCTGAGCACCTGCCTAGCTCAGGCCTGGGCCAGGTGCCTCCCTGGCTCTGGGGGGATTTACCCTTGGGGTAAGACCCAGGCAGGAAGCAAGAGGAACAAGGGGCTCCCACAGTTAAAGTGACTTGCCTGAGACCACATGTGGCCAGGCCAGGATGCAAGCCAACTCTGAAGCCACCACTTCTCCCCACAGCACACAGCAGGACTCCCCTCACCACTGCATGACTATGGGTGAGACATGCTACCCTGCCAAGCAAATCTGTTTCCACTTCTGTGACATGGGGACAACCTGTAGCTCATGGGTGAAATGGGGCCATCCTGCTTGGGTCCCACTCAGCAGCAGGGTAACAGTCTTTATGTCCTGTCCTTGCTGCTATTGCTGCTAATGAAGCCCCGCACCCCCCTCTGCACCCCCTTCCCCCTGCCCAGTTCATACAAAAATGAGAACAGCCATGACTGGTCAGGGGGAAGCAGCAGCCTGGGTGACCCCAGCTGGAGTGAGGGACCAGACTTTGGGCAGAGGACGGAGGCCCTCAGGTCCCCAAGTACTGGCTTGTGCACCTGCCCTTGGCCCAGCCACGTCACTCAGCAAGATCAGTTCTGGCTCAGCACCCACAGCCTTGCCACAGCACTGCTGCCAGGTCCCAGAGACCTAATACCCAGTGCTGTATCCCTGGCCCCAGGGCCCTTCCACTCTCCTGGCTGTGACCCCAGCGCTGCCTGCGGTACTTGGACAGAACAAAGCTGCAACTTCCCCTAGACCAGCCAGGATCAGTTGGTCTGGTAGAAGCTAGACCAAGGAGGAAGGCAAGGTGAACAGGTGCCTGTTTCCCTCTAGTGGCCCAAGACCAGTTAGACGGAAACAGGTATCTGCCTAGGCCTGCCCTAGCACCAGGACAGCAAATGATAAAGGGAGTGGGCAGAGTTCACAGAGGCCTCAGGAGGGTGTGGAAGGGTGTCAAGTGAGTTTGTCTTAATCTCTCCCTCACGCCTCATCCCCTGGTCTCAGGACAGCTTTGTAAGAGGAAGTACAGACCACAAGAGGGTGTCACCGGACCACCCCCTCCATCTCCCGAGGCTTCCAACTTGGCTGACAAGCAAACGAAGAGAGACATGTGCCTTTCTTAAAGATACCTCCAAGGAGAGAGATCCAGCTTGGCCTTCCCTCATGCTGAAAGGAGGTGAGGTGAAGATAGCTTTGGTCCATCTGAGCAGTAGCACAGGGAAGAGGTCTGGAGGCCCTGCCTTGTTCTTTCACTAGCAGCAACTCAGGAGAGTCCACCAGGCTTGAAGTCCACCTCCCAAGAGCCCAGAATGTTGGGATTTGGTGGCAGGGAGCCCATGGGGACAGAAGTAGGGCTTTGGGTAGAACAGTCCTGCGTGTGAATCCCATCCCTGTCGCTTCCTGCCTTCCCTTGGAGCCCCAGTTTTTTGAGGCTGGCCAAGGGCTGCTGTGAGGGCTGATAGCTGGGCCACCTGCTGTGGGCAGTGCCCATGACCCTTGGTCCCCTTCCTTCTCCCACCCTGGCTCACAAGGTACTGGTCATGGCCTCACCTGGAAGGAGGAAGGTGGTCCTGGTGGCAATGTTGATCTCCTGCAGATGCTCCAGGGTCTCAGTGTGGAAGAGGCGGATGGAGGAGCCAGAGGAGAAGGCCATCCAGACGCCGCTGCCCGCTTTCACCATGTGTGTCACGCTCACCGCCTCGTCCTGGTGTGCCTCAAAGCTTTGCTGCACAAGGGAAGGGGGTGTCAGGACTGGGTCGGAGCTGCCAGCTGGACCACCCCAGCCAGCCCCTGCTCCCCTGGGGTGGGCGGCTCCTACATTCTTCAATAGCACACACTAACCCAGGCTCTGCCTGAACACAGAGTGGTGGAAGGAAACCTTGGCAATCCATGTGCTGTGTTGATCAATGCCTAACAACTAGTGGGGGATCCTGGCTTGCAGTGTTGGCCAGTTCCCATGGTGTAAATACTGCTAATAGGTCGACCCCAAGCTCCAAATGTGACGGTGCTGAGCGAGGGGCAGGAGAAGATGCTCACTCGGCTTTCGCAAATGAAAAGGACCTGGCTCCAGCACATGCTGGGGCGTCTTTTGGGGCCCTGGTTCACAACACGGAAAGACGGAGCCAGCAAGTCACAAAGCAGCACCAGTTTGTGTATGTCATTTAAAGTGACAATAGCAACCTACAGAACTACTGTGGAAGGGCAGGTGTGTGTGTGGGGGGGGCTGAACCTTCACTTTCACAATGGGGCCAAGAGACAGTGTCCAAAACTGATGGAGCAAGAGGCAGCAGAGTGAACAGTCATGAGGCGATGCCACGGGGCAAAAGACAGAGCAGGAGAGAAGTCTTTTCTTCAGGATGAGAAGGGAAAGGCCTTTGGGAGAAACCATTCCCTGCTATTCAATTTTTTTCTTACAAGTGTAGGTATAACCTACACCTTGTTTTTAAAGACACAATACAAATGGCCAGGCTTCTCATCCACTGCAGGAGAAAGCCCAGGTTCTTGAACTTGGCCTTTGATGATCACCCTGGCCTTTCCTTGCTCCAGGCCAACCAATGCCTTGGGCCTTGGGCCAGGACACAGCATGCAGTGCACTTCTGCCCTTGTGATGGCCTTGTCACAACACGCATCACCCCTGTCCTTCAACATCTGAAGAGGCTGCTTCAGGGTGATGTCCCTACAACCTTTTTCCATGGAGCTGTCCCAACCACTCACAGACCAGCACCTTCTACTGCCCAGCATGGGGTCACATACACAACTCTGTGCCTCTACCCGGCTGCCTCTGTGTTGGGCTCTGGATCTTTAGTGTCGCCCCAAAGGCCCCTATGACAAAGGCTTGGTGACCGGTCTGCAGTGCTGTTGTTTGGTGATGGAACATCGAGGAGGTGAGGCCTAGTGGAAGGAAGTTAGGTCACTGGGGACACAGCCTTGAAGGGGATATTGGAACCCAGGCCCCTTCCTCTTTCTTACTTCCTGGCTGCCATATGCTCCCACCATGATGCACTGTGCTGCTACAGGTCCAAAGCAACAGGGCCAAGCAACCGTGAACTGAAACCTCTAAAACCATGAGCCAACATGAGCCTTTCCTCATGAACAGTGTTTATCTTAGATATTTTATCACAGTGGTGGAAGGCTGCCTGACACTCCCACACTGGACTCCCAGGACAGAGACAGCACCTCAGGCCTTCAGTGTCTCCCAAGTGGCACGGAACCCGGCACACAGTAAAAGCCGGTCAGAGAATGAGCAGATGGACACAGAAATTCTGTCTACAGCACTTGGTCATTACTTGGATATGGACACTCCAGCACACCACACTTTCTAGTTTGCCAAGCCCCTGGGGACAGTTGTAACCTGGTCTCCACTTAGAATTATGTCACGGACACTGCGTGATGAAGACGGGAAAATGTGGGCGCAACAGCAGCAAACAAAACGACCACATCCACCTTGTGGAGGCGGGGCGGGAGTAGAGGCCCGCACCGTGCAGATTATTCTGGGGAGGGGCCTGGTGGTTTCCTCTTTGCCAGTTTTCTGGGCTTTCCATTTTTTCTATGAAGAGTGCACACGGGTGGAAGCCCAAGACTGCAGGAAGATGTTACATGGAATCAAACCTGCTAGTCAATCCCATTTCCTCAATAGCCTCACAGTAGTCATTCCTGGTCAGAACGCAGGGCCCAGGAGGGCAAGGATGCGGGGATCCAACAACATGGTTTGTTCTGAGCCAGTCCTCGTGGCTGAGCTTCACAGTGCTGGGGAAAATTGAGGCTCCCCCAGGAGGGGAGATACAGAGCTGTCCCTCCTCTGTCCATCCCAGGCCACTCAGGAGGCAGGATTCCACTGTGTGGCCACCCTTTGCTGGGAGCCTGGACAGCAGAAGTGTAGTCCCCCTCAGTTCACCAGAAAAGGGTGCATGGTCTCCACAGAATGGGGGTTCCTCAGGGGCAAGGACTGGGTCTCCACCTCACTCAGATTGGGGGCTCAGCCTAAGGGCTCTCAAGTGAGGGACTGTCCCTCTTTCCTTAGCCAACTACCCCCCACCACCACCATTCCAAGTAAAAGCCCAGGTACAGGAGGCTCAGAGCCTCTGACTTCTAGGAGAGGCTGAGCCTCATCATAGCCTCCACAGCCCCAGTGCATACAGCAGAGGGGCACAGCAGTCCCACTGCTCCATCCCTTCACCCCACAGGCAAGCAGCACCGGCCCTCAGTCCTCTTTGCCTGAAAGAAAAACTCCTTCCAGGAAAGTCATGGGTGGCTGGTTGTTTTCCAGAACCAAGCTGCAGAAGGAGCCAGGAGAGTGGAATGGGAACCTTCCTGGAGGTCTTGCTGAAAAAAAAATCAGTCCAACACCAGCAGGCCCAAGGCCGCAGAGCCCCTCAGCCACCCTGCAGGAGGATGGCTTGGGGGGCAGCAGCATGGTAGGGGAGACACGGCACGCTTGGTCTATGGACTTTTGCAAGAAACAGCAAGTATATTCTTATGTGCGAATGCACACTGACAGCGCCTGCATGCAGCCAGCTCCTGCCGGACTCCTGCACAAAGCTCAGAAGCATTTCTTGCCTCAGCAAATGCCAAATGCACTGAAATTGCGAGGCCTGGAACCAAGCAAAGCTGCACCTGGATTTGCAGCCAGCCAGCCCTGTGTGGTACTGTCAGAACCTAATTAAACGAGAAGCTGGCACAGGAAATCCAGGCTCATTTCTCCAGGGGTGTAACAAGTCTTCTCTAAGCTCACAGGGCTCTGCAAGAAGGCCTGTGCAAACCTGCCGACACATGGAGGGAAGGCGGTAGGGGAGGCAGGGGTATGAGGAAGAATGCAGAGCACGCCAGCCTGGCCCTTCCCCCTTGGCCACCTCTGGGCTCAGGGCCAGCTGGTCCTGCCCCAGGACCCCTGCCTGGAGCCTGAGAGCCATATTCTTGGGTTCACGAGTCAGGGAGTAGGTGGAGTCCAGGGGACAGGCAATATCGGGGTCTCCAAAGGGTCCTAGACCAGCACCATAGACGGTGGGCAAGGAGCAGGGACCCCAGCCCTTGGTACTTACCCGGCTCATTTTGTTTTCCACTCAAGGGTGTTCCCTTACACAGAAGGGACTCAGAACCCACTACTAACAAACACTGCAAGCTGACCCATGTCTGCTCTCCTCCTGCCCAGGGTGCTCAGGAAACACTCCCCACCTGGCCCTCCAATGCCAGGCCAAGGCCTTCTCATTTCTCACCTCTGGATCTGGCTTCTAATTCCCGGCTAATCTTGGAGACCCAGAAGCAGGAGCCTCTAAGAGCCCTCTCACTCCCCTCACCCTTCAGGAAAACCACCTGCCCTCCTGCCACCAGCTTGGCCTTGCCCACTTCAGGGCTCCAGAAGACTTCTGGCCTCTAGAATCCAGGAATCGCTACTGCCTGGACATTGCCTGTCAAAGGAACAGCCTGCTGGGATTCTACACGAGACCAGCTGAGCTAGGTGTAGTGGTTCATGCCTGTAATCTCAGCTACTCAGGAGGTGGAGACAGGAGGATCTAGAGTTCCAGGCCAATGCAAGCAAAGTGAGCTAGACCCTTTCTCAAAAACAAAATACAATACAAAAGGGCTGATGGCATAGTTCAAGTGGTTCAAGACCCTGGGCTTGAACCCAGTACCAATACCACAAAAAAAAAAAAAGAGAGAGAAGAAAGGTGCTGACAAGAACCCTCAGGTGATGGCCAGCTGCCATGCTGGCAAATGAAGCTTTATTGGAACTGGTCATGGCCACACACAACAGCAGTTGCTCAAGGGGCCTGTCACAGCATGGGGACCATAAACACCGTTCCTCACTTAAGGACATCAGCATCTGCGAGCAGATCCTAAACCCCAGGCAGCAAGCTTGGTGGCAGTGACAGGGCATGTGATTCTAAGTGATGCTGTGTGACTGGGACACGCTTGTGCTACTGGGGAAACAGAGAGAGAGAGTCAAGTGTGGAACAGACGGGTCAGGGCGGGCTCCGGGACCTCAGAGTCCAGTTACAGGTGTCAGTGTGAACTGGAAGTTTTCTCTGCTGGTTCCGCCCCCTAGAGAGCCCAGAAATAACAGCACCAGCCACAGAGAGCATGCGTGTCTTCATTTCTACTCCCTTCACCCATGAGGGGCTAGCAGTGGAGCCCAGAGCTTTTCATGGTGCCTGAAGGCCAAGGGGGACTGAAGGCATGATGGGAAGTGACCGAAGTGCCTGGATCCAGCACAAAGAGAGCCAAATTCAGACAGCTTGAGTATCAAAAGAGTAATGATGGTCCTGATCTCAGCACACTGAGTTTGTCAGGAATCTCAGAACTGGTAGTGAAAGGGGAGGGCTGTAGAGCAGGGCAGGGAAAACTCATCTAATGACAACTACTAAATGTAGAAGGGACAGCAGACTGGAACAATCGTCCATGTGCCATCACCGAGGGGTCACCAGTGGATGCTAACACCCTGGGTGAAGGTGTGGGAGGGGCACATGGGAGAGACTGGTTTCCCCACACTCCAACCTGGCAATTCCAGTTTGCAGAACCTTTTAAAAGACACAGGCTTGGACTTCTTAGAAAAGTCAGTATAAGCTGGACTAGTGGTACACGCCTGTAATCCCAGCACTCAGGAGGCTGAGGCAGGATGATCACAAGTTCAAGGCCAGCCTGGGTCACATAGCAAGACCCAGTATTAAGAATAAAAAAAAAAAAATCATGAGTTTTAAAAGGCAGCAATATATTCCAGATGAAAAGGAG